AAAGTATTTTACATTTTTATTGAAAAAAAATCTTTTGATACTGTAATTAGAATTATTCCTTGTAATTCTTATATACAGTAAAGAAAAAGAAAATTAAATATACATGAATAAATATAATCGTTCATGCATACATCATTATGATAAAATTATTATTGTCAATTGTTTTTCAAAGGATTATAATAATTATAATAAAATACAATTATAATAAAAATTATAAATAATTATAATAAAAATTATTATACAAATATACATTTTTGTTTCTTTCTGATGATTTCATTGCAATGGTCATTAAAGATTTTTATCAATTATATATTAAAATTTCAATTAGTTTTTTAATATATAAAAAATTAAAAAATAAATAAACTATAAAAGTAAATATACAATTAAAATATTGAAGATTGTCGAAAATAACACGAATTTAAAAAATAATATTTCCATATTTCATTCTCAAAGATCAATTAAGAAATAAAAATAAAAAATTATACCAATAAAAGTAATGAGTAAAAATACTAGTAACTTGAGTTGAAGTAATTAGATTTTAAATCAACTGGATCGATGACACTTTCATTTTCTTATATTTATGATACTATATCGTGTTCATATCTAATAGATATATTAGATATTCTGTATGTGAATTCCTCAAGTAATCATGATTTATATTAATATTTTTATAAATATTTTTATAAATATAAATTATATTTATATAATTATAAAATTTATAAAATTATATCAAAAAATGCTAAATATATTTGCAACATCATTTTCAAATTCATTATTTTCAATATTATCTATAAATAGTAAATATAAATTCAGAAACTATTTTGAAGATTATATATTGAAAGATATATTAATATTTTTTAATTATCTTTTTGAAAATGATTTTATGAAAAATGTAATAAAAATGTAAAAAAAACTTAATTTTTTGAAACATGTACATTTTTTTATCATTAAAATATTCAATAAAACGCTATATTAAAGATATATTTATAGAAATAATTCTTTTATTTCTTATCATATATAATTTACCAATAACAAATATAATAATAATGTATAGTTTTAAATTCACAAATAAAATATATATCTACAATAACAACAATAACAACAACAACAACAACAACAACAACAATAATAATAATAATAATAATAATAATAATAATAATAATAATAATAATAATAATAATACGCAAATTTTATGAAATATCTTAAAGAGTGGAAAAATAAACAGTCGGTAATAAAGAAATTTCTAATTTCATTTGTCGATATCATTTTATCAACTATTTAAATCAATATCTTGCAATTTTATTCACATAACTTATATTTAAAAAATTAAATATACATTGCATATATAACGTAATAAAATAATTAACAATATTAACTACAAAATTGAAAAATATCAAATAGTAAATTGATATAAATTTAATTTTTAAGAATATACAAATTCTATACAATATAAAAGATACAGTATAATTAAAAAATAATATAAAATGATAATATATTTTAAATTCACACATATTTTTCTTTAAATTTATTCATTCTTATAATATACCAACATTCAATAAAAATTACATGTTCTTTTTATTCAAAATATATATAATTTACTTTTGTAAAAGCATGCAAAACATGTAAATATTTATTTAATAATTGAATTTTATATTTTAACAAGAAATAGATCATATTACTATTGTTTTAAAGATAATAAAAAACATAATTAAGCAAAGCATCATATTCTTTTACATATATATATACATATATATATATATATATATACACACATACATATATATATATATATATATATTTATCATCACATGTCTAATTTCATAACTCGTTTTTTTGGACTAAAAAACCAAGGCCATAACAGTAATAATGAAACTCGCGCAGTTAATTCGAAAATGCAAAAACAAATATTAAGAAAATCTTATTTAATTCTAATTTTCAATATGTACAAAATTAATCATTTAAACGTAAATTTAAAATGCAAAACATAAAATAATTATAAAAAATATAACTCACATACTAAAATGTAAACGAATTTGTAACAAAGATGGCGGATCAAAATTTGGCAGATCGTTGATACTCAATTATCTTTTCTGTTTTTCCAGAAATATATCACAAAAGGAATGACAAATGTAACAGGTAATTAAATAACTTACCTCAGTACTCATATACACTTTTGTATTTCCATCAGAGATTAAAAATTTTCAATCACAAGAAAAATATTGGAGCAATGGCCGATTCTACAACTCACTAGAAGCAGAAAACTCGATGGCTCCAATTGTTGTTCATGTGGCGCCATCATACGTTTACAATACAGACAAGAATTATAATCCTAAATACGATAAGTGCTAACCTCTAACGGAAAAATGAGAAAGTACTAATTTTACTTAATATTTTATTCAATTTTTTATTTATCCATTTAAAAAAATTATATGTGGAATACATGTATCATGTATGCAAAATTATGACAAAAAAAAATACAAATTATATAAAAATTCTTTTCATTATTTTTTAACCTCGTATTTTAAATAATAAATATATAAATTTACATTTTTTTATTTTTTTATAATTTATTTTGCAAAAAACAAAAAACGCTTATATTTAGATTTTTGCAATTTCACAAGATATATTGTTTGGATCCCATTTCCTATTATTCATTGATCGTATGTATAATTTAGCATAGATATACTTTCGCAATCGTTCTGGATTTAAAACGAGACATTTATTTAATGATTTGCAATAATATTTCACATCGGAAGGTAAAATCAATATGTGTGGTTGCCGCTCAAAACAGGCGTACTTTGTCCAAAGTGTTGTATCAAGATTCAAGCCAGAAAGAGGAGGATACAAAGGATAGAATGTAGTTTGAGACAATATATGATCAGCTAACCGACCGAGCCTATCCATTCCAGGTGTATTCCTAAAAGAACTTTTTATTATAATAAAATTCATATCTTACTAAATAGTTCTGCTAAATACTTCTGCTACTTACGATACTTCTTGCTGTCCAAGATGTCTAAGGATATCAACTGATGTTATTCCTATATACAAGTTATCTATATTTATTATGCAAGGATCTGGCATGGAATAAAGATTCGCCACATTTGATCCAATTTTATTTGTATTTATAATAAATTCTGGTGTCGGAAAAATTGAATCATGATGCGCATCGCGATTAGAAGATACTAATACAATACGTGTTGATTTCCTACATTATAAAAAATTATTAATAATAATTTATTAAATATTAATATAATATTATTAATCGATAATAACCCTTGCAAATATTGTAGAATCTTCATTAAAATTGTATCAAAAAAATCTTGATATGTTTCTTTCAAGGTACACTTTTTAATTTCAGGATGTGTATATTCTATGAAAGGTCCAATTAATATTAATATATTTGGTTCTTCTTCTACAACGCGATTCATAAGATCCCACAATGGTTGATAATTTAAATTGTCAGAGGATGTAAATGGGCCAACCGCAACATAAATTTTTATATCTATTGATAATTTTGGTTCATCAAATAATTGTGCATATCCTTTAACAAATAATTGTTTTACTATTAGAGTATCTCCAGTGGTATTAAAACCTTCCACTGCAATTATTTGACCAGGAAATAGTGAATAATGTTTAACTCCACTAAGGTCTAAACGTATAACAGGAGCATTTTTTTCACCAACATTTGTTTTAGAACCTTCCAACATAACAATTTTACTGCCAGTAGAAGTATCATCCATTATAAATATTCTACCCCATGTTCTAAATGTTGTTTGACTTATACACATTATGTTTCTCACGTAACGCATATTAGAATTCGAAGGTCCCATTTCATTCCAAGTATAACATAGACGCTCACCAAAACTTTTACAACGATTGCTGAGAAAAACTCCTTGTTTAAAAAGCATTTCATACATGTATACTGCATCTTTTGGTATATGGGGATTGTCAGCTTGAACGATCGATATTTCGTAATCGTTTTGAGTTTTCCAATTCTGAATATTTGGACCAAAATATAAAAGAATCTTAGCCTTAACTGTACTGCTCGGTGAACGAATAGGTACATTTCTGCAAAAATGATTGAAATTTGCTAATTCCAATATCGAATTACAAAAATGTAAGTTATAATATAATTTGCTTACAAATTTGATGTATATATCGATGGTGGAAAAATTTGTTCTATTGCCCGTAATTTTGTATCATTCTCTAATTCTGCTGATGGACTCCTTGCTCTTTTAATTTGCTTAAAAAAAAAATAAAATTTTATATAGAATAATAATATATTCATCAAATTATTTTTACTGAAAATTAGAAATATATTATTTATATATATTTCGCATACACAACATTCTAAGAGCAAAACAGATTACCGTAGACGAGTATGTATCTAGTCACGAAATAAATCAAAACGTGCACTACATTCATACTCGCCTATGGAATTATCTGTTTTATATTATCTTAGTTTATATGTGAATAAAAAACAATTTATAATAATGAAAACGAAATAATAAATTCTTAAAACGACATATTCATACTTTAATACAGAAGAATTTTCATAATCACCAATAAAATTGTGATGTTTAGACCTGAACGTACTTAATGAGTGTGGATCTAGTCACAATTTCATTTTCTGTGCACTAGACCTTCACTCATTTGGCAAATTCAGGAAATTTTTTCATTTTCTTCTCTTTTTCTATCCTCTTCCTTCTCATATTGCATCATAACTTTGGTACTTTCCATTATTGATACTTAGAAAGCAAATTCTAAATATCAAATACGAGAAACTGTTACGATTAAGAAAAAAAATTTAAATAAATGAAGAAAGGGCAGAAAGAATAAATACAATTATTTTATATTCATAATATTAAAATGATAAAAACTATATAGCATGATCTGTATTCAGAAGTCAACATAACGAGAAAGGTTAATTGTTATTAACCTGATCATTCTTGTCACTGTATTACGTATTGTTTCGATAAAGTTTAAACTATTTCTTGTATTTTGCGTTTAATGCTTTTAAATTTTAACAAATAACAATTTGTTTTTCTTTGTAATAACTAATTAATACGATATTTCCAATTTTTTAGGAATGGTTATTTTAAAAAATCATTTTTATATTTATATATAATTTTATATATAATTTCATTAAAATATAAATTATATAAAATATAATTTATTTATAAATTAATAAAATAAAATTTACAAAAATTACAAAATATGTGCTAAATACATGCAATATTCAATCAAATATATAAAAGAAATATGAGAAGAAATTTATTTGAATGATACTTGCTGTACCAGATCATGTAAAACTTTAGGTCGATCACCGAGCTGTCCTCTTTCCCCCTCTTTTCTGACGAATATGCACAGAGTCAGGAGACTATTTCTCCTTCTACCCCTCTCTCCACAAACTATCCGCCCCTGGCAATCTTTTGCCCCACTATTCACAGAGATACCGTGGGAAATAACATGGTGCTTTTACCAGTTATATGCTATGCCATAAGAACCGTTGGCATGTCTTTTATTTTTCAATACAAATATCAAAATATATATTTTTTTCCTTCTTCACAAAAAATTTAAATTTTTCATTTATTTTACATATAAAAAAGATCATCAAAAAGTTAAAAATTGAAATAAAGAAAGAAAAAAGACTGGATTGTCAGTTATTAATCAATTATACTTAATTAATAAATGTAAATAACTTTTTAAAAAACATCTTTCAACAAAATATTGTTTAAAAAAGTTAAATTTTATTTACTAAATAATTTTCTATTTGTTCAATTTAAAAATTGCAGATACTTCATTATTACTATAAATTTCATATATTTATATAATTTACTTTTTCATATGTATAAAATGATATCATCAATGTATGATACTTTTTTATTAAAAATTAATAAAAAAATTAAAACATATTAAATATTAAATAAAAAAATATAAAATTATCACAATTATATGCAATTTTAACAAGCTATTATGTACAAATTATAATGTACATTTGGAGACATAAATGTATAATTTAAAAATAAAAAATGTTAAACTAAAAAGTTTATCATATAATTTATCATATAATACCTTTACTTATATAACCAGAAAAACTATTTTTCGTAGAGTATTTAAAAGATATAGAAACACTTTCAAAAAAAGTGAGTATACCCAAAGAAACATGCAACATACTCGAAGCAACAGGTTGTAGCGACGCGACGCTTGGAACTCTCAACGAATGAACGGTCGACGACATTCGCGTATACGCACACTATTATAATCCACCTTTTTTCTCTTTCTCACATATAATACTATTTTCATTTCATACAATATATATGGATGCGTATATATTAATAATGAATAAGGTTATCCATAAACTTTTCTATTGTTAATTACATTTATCGCATATTTCTTATAATAATATCTAATGATAAATTCAATATGAGCAAACAATTTTTACATATATATGAACAATTTTTTCATTTTTATATAGTTAATCTGGCAAGTTTTCACGATATACATAAAACTTTATCGTAGAAATTGATAAAAAGAGTAAAGAAAAATGGAATGAATTAGAACGTAGTAATAGCAATAGCAACAGGTCGTTACTTATAACGCGAATCGTTATACGATTGGCCGGAATGACTTTCGAGTATGAAATTCACTCAAACCGAATTCCGTAATGGCTGACGCGTTACTTGACCATTTCAATATGTAATATACACTGCACTCCCGCATATGTGTGCATAATATTCTTTTGCACAAATTATTTACTAGTTCACAACATTTACACATAATTTACAATTTATATATTATATCCACAATTAACCGATAAATCACTGAATAATACACTTCGATTACGTGTAACTAGCTGACAAGCAAACGGTAGCGTCTCAATTCGACGCCATCGAGATATTTGATTATAGCGATTAATTTTTAAAAAATATGAACTATAATTGCCTTGTACACAAACAAAACAATTAGGTGTAAAGTAGTATTCGTAAATTTCAGTAGAATTTATGAATTAAAGCATAAAAGTACATAAAAAACACAACGTTTTGTTCGGAAAGCTGTAAGCGCGCGCGCACGCGCGCATCAGGATGATAATGGAGTCTGGGTCCTTGAAAACTGAAATCGTACCCTTTGAAGAAATCTGGTCAACTCTCTTGGATGGAAGAAGAACCCCTCTCTCTACGATACGAGAATACACACTATCCTTTTTCAACCAATAAGAATGAATCCAACATTCCCCTCCATAATAGAGTGTCCTTTGTGGGAGACTGAGAAAAAAGAAGAGGGGATAATGGCGGCGATCTACCTGAACGATTTTTGTGGCGGGAATTACGGTGTTTTCAACAAGATCCTACAACACATCAGAACAAGAAACCACCTGCCGAAAAATAGTATTGGAATATCTAATACTCAATGACAACAGTGTAAGCATAATATTAATATTATAATATTATATTTTAATAATAATTGTTAATAATATGATTTTAAAATCTTTTGTATTTATAATAAGAAAATATTACTTTTAAAAAATAAATTTAAAAAACAAAATTTAATTATCGCAAAATTTTATTAAAACGATATGATATATATAACTTTGAAATATATGTTTTTAATATAAATTAAAGAGAATTTGAAATATATAAGAAAAAAATCATAAAAAAAATATTTAATCTTGCTAAAATAAATATAAAATAAATAATTCAATTATATTCAGAACTTTTGTTAACTAAAGAAATTTCAAAATCAATTTATTCCATAATATATAATATATAATTAATTATTCCAATATACAATGTATTAATAAAATTTTAAAATAATTAAATATATATCATTTAAACTATATTTTTTATATTTAAAAATTATTGTATAATATGTAATTTATTATAAATATATTTTTTGATATAAATTTGAAATCGTAATTTACAAAAAAATTAAATAATATATTAATGAATAAAAAGATAAAAATATAAAAATAATTAAAAATTTTATCTATTTCGTATAATATTGTTAGATACAATTTTGAACTTTTTTATGTAGAATAAGATTTTCAGGTAGAAATCTTACGTCACTGTTACTATAGACCATAGATCGACCATAAAGAATGCAAAGCAATGTTGCCAAATCGATGTAAATCATAGAATTGCCAAGGTTGAGACAAAATTCAATATTCAATTTTAAACTACAACATTTTTAAAATATTTTGAATATGTTATACTAAAATTATTGAACACTTTTTTTACGCTTTTAAAAAATTATATTTACATATTCATTTATGAATATTAATTTTAAAATTATTAATTTGGTAAAATATAATATATTTTATATAACTTATAGAAATTTTAATTTTAATTAATAGTAATATATTATATATTATATATATATATTATATATAACAAATATATATATAAATATATAAATAATAATATATTTATTTTTAAAGTAATATTTTTCATTGAATACAATATTTATATATAGGTTAAAATATAATAAAATAAAAAAATTTTCTCGAGAATGCATAAATTAAATTATGCAATAAAATTTGATTATATATATATATATATATATATATATATATATATAATAATATATA